TTATTTTAGAGCCAGGAATGTCTGCATTGTTCATTCTGGAGTTTACCTGAGAGAGTTCCGGGGGTCAACGCCCCCGCGGCCCAGTCTGTGACCAGGCCTCCTGGTGGATCAGAGCCTGATCAGCCAGGCTGTTGCTGCTGGCTGCACGCAAACCAACGTATGAGCCACAGCCCGGCTGGTCAGGAACCGACTTTAGGTGCTTGTCCAGTGCCAGCTTGAAGACTGCCAGGGGTCTGTTGGTAATCCCCCTTATGTATACTGGGAGGCAGTTGAACAGTCTCGGGCCCCTGACACTTATTGTATGGTCTCTTAACGTGCTAGTGACACCTCTGCTTTTTATTGGGGGGATGTTGCATCGTCTGCCAAGTCTTTTGCTTTCGTAGTGAGTGATTTTCGTGTGCAAGTTCGGTACTAGTCCCTCTAGGATTTTCCAGGTGTATATAATCATGTATCTCTCCCGCCTGCATTCCAGGGAATACAGTTTTAGGAACCTCAAGCGCTCCCAGTAATTGAGGTGTTTTATCTCCGTTATGCGCGCCGTGAAGGTTCTCTGTACATTTTCTAGGTCAGCAATTTCACCTGCCTTGAAAGGTGCTGTTAGTCTGCAGCAATATTCCTGCCTAGATAGAACAAGTGACCTGAAGAGTGTCATCATGGGCTTGGCCTCCCTAGTTTTGAAGGTTCTCATTATCCATCCATTCATTCTGGAAATTATTTTGAAATTATATTTTTTAATTTTCGTGAAATTGACCAAATTGCAAATTTCTGACCACGTTATTGGGTAGTTGAAATCGGTAAATGGGCAGTTTCTTGTACTCAATCGATAGAAATAATGGAGTTCTAAAGAAATAGCTATGAGTTTGGTCAACTGGAACAATGGAATTAGCCGAAAATAGGGCTCAAAGTGGGCGAAATCGCCGATTTGTAAATGTATTGCCGAGGTCGCTAACTTCGCGAGAGCTTAAGTCCATCAGTTTTCCATCAAATTTCGTTTTTTTTGGTGTCATTAAAATCGGGAAAAGATTCTCTATCATTTCATAAGATTTTTTTTTTTTTTAAATTTTGTGACACCAGGAGACACCTCAGGATTGGAGGTTACGACAGTCAAGGGGTTAATGCTTAGTTATGATTGTAATAATACAGCCTCTCCTCACATAGTGACGTACTCATTTACTGATGACTCGGACTTATGACAGGCTCTCTGACCAGTATGCATATCTGAATAATGTACGCTGGTACCCCGAGTTTCGAACTTAATCCATTCCAGGAGCTAGTTCTAAAGTCGAAACATTCGAGACTCAAAGCAACATTTCCCATAAGAAATAATGTAAATACAATTAATCCGTTACAGAAACCCAAAAGTATTCACAAAAAATACATTTTATAGAGATTAATTATAGTGTTACACACAAGCATACATAGTACAATTAGTAATAGATAAATAAACATTTAAATAAACATATAAAATAACATTTTTACTTACCTTTATTGAAGATTGTTGATGGCATCTGGAAGATAGGGAGGAGGAATGAGGGAGCACTTATTGTTTGGAAGGGGAATCCCCTTCCATAGAGACTAGGTAGCAAGTCCTTATCTGGGGTTACTTTCCTTCTTTAAGATTTCCTTAAAATGGGACATGGTTCTGTCATTGAACTTGTTGCAGAGATGGCTTGTTTCAGCTTGCTCAGGGTGATATATTTCAGCAAATGGCTGCACCCTATTCCACATTGCACAAATCTGAATCTCTGAAGAAGGCACCATCTACCATTCACCACCACCATCCACCAATACCATCCACCATCCACCAGTACCATTCATCACCACTGTCATCCACCAATACCATTCACCACCACCACCATCCACCAGTAACATCCACCACCACCACTATCCACCAATACCATCCACCACCACCATCTACCAGTACTATCCACCATCTACCAGTACTATCCACCACCACCACCATCCACCAATACCATCCACCACCACCACCATCCACCAATACCATCCACCACCACCACCACCACCATCTACCAGTACTATCCACCAATACCATCCACCACCACCCCTATCCACCACCACCACCATCCACCATGGTAGCTCATTTCACAGTTGCACTTAATAAACAAGCACCAAACACAATGAATTAATTGTGAAATGTTTAAATGAGTGTGCAGGTTAGTGTTCACTAAAGCATAAAAAAAGCCAGACTGGCTCACGACACCTGCGCGGGGGATGCGGGCAGGCACGGACAGGTCTGGTACGCAGTTCAAAACATGGGGCACGTTCGATACTTGGGACAAAACTGGTGCGAAAAAGTCGAAACTCGAAGCATTCTGTAATACGTTCGAAACTTGGGGTTCCACTGTATATTAGACCTGATTTCCTCAATTCTGTTTATTACAATATACAGTACATTGCTGTATAAACATTTAAAAATATACCAGAAATGTTATAAATGATGCAAAAGTGACATCAAAACAGTATCAAAGATGGTTGACGCAAACCCACTACCATTACAGCATGCTTCTCACTTACCAACGAATTCGTTTACTGACATGGTCTAAGGAACGGAACTCTGTCGTTAAGTGAGGAATTGCTGTATACATTTTTCAGTTGAAAAATTCAATGCCTACCATCCTTTTGTAGTTACTGTATTTGAAAATAGATGGAGCAGTTCATTCATAAGATTGTAAGAATAGCAGAACATTGCAGCAGGTTTACTGGCCCATGCAGGTTCAAAAAGGAAAATCTCATTTCTAGCTAAGTACTGGTAGAAACCCATAGACCTAACCTCAGTCATCTTCATTGATATGGAGCCTTTTAAAAATAAACTTCTCCGTGTGTAAATGAAAATTTTTTCACTTTTTCTTTAGATAATATGAGTCATTGAGGCCTTTCCAACATAGGCTTTATCTCTTGTGTTATTTCTGAATAACTTTATTCTTGATGGCTTAGGAGCACTTTTTTTTTTGAGGGGTGTGATAATATAACAATGTTTTACTTTTGGAGTATACATCTTTTACTGTCAAGCATCTCAAGAGCTACTTACAGAGCCACATTAGATTTTTGTTCCTAAATTTAATTTACCTGTTGTATATATTGGATTTCTAGACTTACCTGTACCCTCTTTCTTCTCATTGACCAGTTTTTTATTAACTTTCTGATTTAAGAGGCTTGGTTTGAGACTGGATCACAGGGGTGATGATTTCTAGAACAGATAACCAGTATTGACTCTGATTTTCCTACATTAACTGTGACTTCTCTGTCTCCTGTATTGGGCTCTGATTTCCCATTAGAAACTACCATTAGCACCCCTCTAAAACAGTAGCTGGGAATCCAAGTGTCCTGGCATAAAGACAGGAACACAACCTATGAGCTGGGTGCTTCCATCTGAGCTTCATAATTTGTCTGACCTGGATGTTACTGCAGAGGCTCTTTTATTGTAGGCCCTGAGCAAAGCCAGCTGAAGCTGCTGTCCTGGTACTTAGAAATCTTGTAATTATTACATGCAAACCACTCATCTAGCCACATAACCAGCCAGCAACCTTGCATAGTTTCAAGCACACGGTGTCAACTACCGATGACACTAAATATCAATCTGGCCTAGGCTTTGTGAAAACAGTACCTGATAATATAGTCACAGTACTCCTTTTATTTATACTGTCAGGATACAGTATACTGTGTCCACGATTAAGATGCTTTGCCCAAATGGGGGGGGGGGGTTGATCAGGTCATGCCACGTTAGGCAGAGCCTGGTATTTCCTTCCTCTTACAGATCTCACTGGACTCTGGGGAACATTTCCAGTCAGAAGTTATCAAGAGAAATGCCTATGAAGTGTTTTTTTTTTTTTTTCATTTCCAAGGATTTTAAGGACGTGTACAACAATAACAGTCACTCTATACATTTTTTGACTCAAATGGTTGGATTTATTAGATATTTTTGTTGTTAAAATTTAGAGTGGTGGAACTGAGTGACTGTAGTAAAAAACAAGTTATGGCTTTAAGTAAGTGTGAAGACTAATTTTATGTGCTTTAATTTTTTCTTATATGCTCTGACCTATTTAGGGCAGCATTGAGGTTTCTAAACATTTTCAGTAGTCTTATTACATTCTCGTAAGTTAAGTATCTTTAATGATTCAACAAAACACACACTTGATATAAACTAAACGAATCTTTTATGTGTATAGGGAAAATAGAAAATATTGGTAATTCTGAAAGAAAAGAGAAACGTAGAGAGAGAGAGAGGAGGAGGAGGATGAGGAAGGGAGGGAAATTTTTAATGATTGTCATAAAATTTGTTTTAATTATGAAGTATACTTGGATAGGAAACCCAACGATACTACACTCTTAATTGCTGTAAAGCTATCAAATAATATTTAGGTTATTGTCAGTGATCACTCATAAAAAATGTGAAGTCTTCAAAGTAAATCATCAAAAGTACTGTATCTAGGTTACTATAAATGATTACCAGTAGAACATGTTTGTAAAGTCTTCAGAGTAAATCTCCATGAGCATTAAACATCTTCCATGTTTCATATTTTCTTTTCTATTCGTCCAAACTGTAGTTTTTTCCTTTTGTATATAAAATTTTTTGTTTTTGGCTTTTCCTTTAAAATATGCAATCTTGTTTGATACAATTCATAGAAAGCTTATTAATGTGCTTTTTGTATATCTTGAGTGATTGCTAGATGTATTAATTCAGTACTTGTTTTATTACTGCAGAAATTAAAAATGACAGTCACATCAGTGTAGAATAGCAAAATTATATTGGTAGAGAAGAAACTTACCATTAATGTATGATTTTCTTTTATTCAATGCTATAAAATGCATTGGCATTCTCCTATGTTTTCTTGTGCTTCATGATTTATTTTAATTGTGTATTAGTGAATAGGTTAAAAATTCATACTTGGAGCACTTCTTCACCTCTCAACATTTTGTCATGGTGTATAATCTGCTGTATTTAGAGTATGCAGTATATCCATAGTTTGTTTAATTTACAGGGTGTGAGGATTGTCAGAAGAGTCACGAAGGTGATTGTGAGGAGCACGGTCCATTAAAGAAAGTGGCAGACACAGAAGTATCTACTCGAGCCAGACGTTCAATACCACACATTCTTCAGCTGAAAGAGGAAGACACCCATATTGGTAATCTGCTTAGTAATATGCTATACATCCTGCAAGCATGTTAGATCTGAGTCTGTGGAGACAGTTGGTTGTTGGAATTTGATGTGCTGCTGGAGTGAACTAGGTAACATTTATGAAGGAATTCATGGAAACCCCTAAGCTGGGCTTGAGTTCTGGAGGTGGAAATTACAGTTCTTGACCTGAAAGATGGGTAAGGATATTGTGATGTCCATTCACTTTTGGTAAGACAACTGTTGAATGAGTAATGGTGAATATGTTTCCTTCTTTGGGTCATCCTGCCTTGGTGGGGAAAAATCTGTAAATATCGACCTTGCCATCACCATCAAAGAGGAAAAAACAGAGGATCTAACCAGAGTAAAGAATAGTGGGATACAATGTACCCATAAATTAGTGCCAACTACCTATCACTTAACTCTTGCATTACATTCACAGCTGCCCCATCAAAATGATACCTAAGTGAAAAATGTAAATTCTTATTTTGCTCGGGAGTTTTGTTCCTGAAAATCATCATTATTATATTGTTAGGAATTGGTAATAATTCTTTGATATTCTATACTAGTTGATGGTATACTTGAAAAGGTGTGCCTAGCACCTTTTTAATTTTATTATGAATTTTGTAGTGGAAAGAACAGTAATGGGGATAAAACAAATGAGAGAGTTAGTTTTTTATGACCACACCAACATATCAGTGTATCACCAGCATCCCACCAACACTGAAGTTCCACATTGCTTTTTGTGTTCTGGCATAACATTCATAATTCTTACTCATAGTAGCTGATTTAAAAGGATACTATGATAGAAAAGATAATATATAAAAAGACTGTTTAGGAAGATTAATCTCATAGGCAGTTCCCAATGTTGACAGGTCCACTGTGCATCCTGAATAGAAGTACAGTTTATTACAGAATTGATGTCTGGTAATGTCGTAATTATATTATGTTTGTTATCTGTAAAGTTTGGTGGGATATGTTGTGTATCTTTATACGTATATGCTTCTAAGCTGTTGTATTCTGAGCACCTCTGCAAAAGCAGTGATAATTTTCTTTTTGGGGATTTTCTTTCTTTTTTGGGTCACCCTGCCTCGGTGGGAGACGACCGACTTGTTGAAAAAAAAAAAAAATCTGTAAATTGTTTGAGGTGGATGGGATGATGATCCCAGTGTATGTATCACTTAGGTCAAGGGAAAGCTTAATTACTTTTCCATCGCTATCCATCGGATAGCGATAAAATCAGATACCGATACGTTTTTGCATCAGAATATTGGCTCGGCTAATGATAAAAAAACTCAGTTAAGGACATTTGTCCAGAAAGTGTCCGCGCGGCCTGAGCCACCCAGCCACTCCAGTGTGGCTAGTGTGCCATTGTTTACAAGCCACTGCGGATGATTCCACGCGTACATGCGATACATTTTTATTATTCCATTGTTTTTAGTGCTTGTAACTGCTAAATAAGCCACCATGGGCCCAAAGAAAACTTCTAGCACCAGCCAACCTTTTGGTAAAGGGCTGAGAGAGAGGGGAGAATGTGCCTTTATCAGTGATTCTGAAATATGTACGATACTAAAACAGCAGGGGTCTATAAAGGCTATAGCGGCAGCCAGCAATAAAGTGTAGCATTAACTGTAGCAAGTAAGTTAACCGATTAATTGATAGAAAAAGGACAGCACAAACCTAACTTCCAATGTTGTTTGAGTTATGTAGGGCAACTGACAACACCGCCATCGCTACTGCCTCTGCTGCTGCCTTCCTTCACTACTATGTATGGCTTATGCTTTCAGTGGCCCTTATACACCCAACAACAACAACACAGCAACATTCGTGACATACTTAATGACGTATTTTATTCATTCTAAAGTACATGTCGTGTTTGTATGTTATTAATATTGTTTGTTATGTCATGTTAGATGAATTGTGCTAATGGAGGTAAGCGCATTCTTGTGGTTGGTGACTCTCAGGTAAGATATATTGACCGTGCTTTTTGTAATAGGAATAAGAAGATGAGAGATAGAGTGTGCTTTCCTGGAGCTGGTGTTGGGGACATAGTCAACAGGCTGGATAATATCATGTCAGGTAATGGGAACAAGCCCATTATCTGTCTCAGTGCTGGTGGAAATGATATTGGGAAGGGTAGGAGAGAAGAGCTGCTAGATAAGTACAGGTCAGCTATAGATTTAATTAAGTCTAAGGGAGGGATCCCAATCATATGTAGCATCTTGCCTAGAAGGGGAGTAGGAAATGAATGCTTGTCTAGGGCAATTGGTGTAAATTGCTGGCTAGACAGATACTGCAAGGAACTTGCAATCCCATTCATTGACAACTGGAACAACTTTTATGGCAAACATGATATGTATGCAAGGGATGGGTACATCTCTCTGGGGCTGGGGTGGTAGCACTTGCAGACTCGATTGAGAAGGCCATTGGTGAAATGCCTATGATTTTAAACTGATAGAAGATAGAGGTATGGGTGTGTGTGGGAAACAAGCAGGTTGCAACACTAGGGTTCGAAACAGTAAATGTATAAAAGGCATTCAGCATGAAGTTATAAATAAAAACAATAGATCAGGTCAGCAAACAAAGGGGGACAGCAGAGGGCAGCAAGGGACTAGCTCCCTTAAGGTTTACTATACTAATAGCAGGAGTGTAAGAAATAAGATAGATGAGTAAGATTAATTGCAAGTGCAGGAAACATAGATATTATTGCTATAACAGAGACCTGGCTCAATCTGAAGGATAGAGAGATGCCCTCTGAATGTCACATACAAGGCTATAAATTATTCCACACTGACAGGGTCAACAGGAAAGGTGGTGGAGTAGCGATGTATGTCAGAGACAATTTAAATTGTTGTGTTAGACAAGATATAAAATTAGAAGCATCAGCCACTGAATCTGTTTGGTTACAGCTTCTCGAGGGCCGAGAACTTCTATGGGACGAAATTCGTAAGGCATCTACAAACGAAAATGTGCTAATGGGAGATTTCAACTATAGACAGATTGACTGGAGCAATTTGACAGGAAATTTAGAGTCAGGTGACTTTCTTGATACGATCCAGGATTGTTTTTTAAAACAGTTTGTGACAGAGCCAACTAGGGGAAATAACCTCCTTGACTTGGTTCTTGCCAGTAGGGAAACACTAATTAATAATCTTGAGGTTAATGATGAGCTTGGGGAAAGTGATCACAAATCACTCAGTTTTAATATATCATGGAATTCCCCTAATAATGGCAATCAAGTCTCTGTCCCTGACTTCCGCTTGGCTGATTTCATAGGACTGAAAAAATACTTAGGTGGGCTGAACTGGAATGACCTGACTAAGGGTCAGGTAGGTGGTGATGGATGCCGATATGACGCTTTCCAGGGCATAGTTCTAGCTGCTCAGTCAAATTATGTTCCAAATAGGGAAATCAGATCAAACAAAAATGATCCTAAATGGATGAACAATAAATTAAAATATCTAATTGGTCAAAAGAGAGGCATATATAGGCAAATCAAAAGAGGAGAGGGGCAATTAAGAAATCGATATATTCAGTTAAAGAGAGAAATAAAAAAAGGAATTAGAAAAGCAAAAAGAGATTATGAGGTTAAAGTTGCAAGAGATTCGAAGACTAACCCAAAAGGATTCTTTCAGGTATACAGAAGTAAGATCAGGGACAAGATAGGCCCACTCAAAAGTTCCTCGGGTCAGCTCACTGACAGTGATAAGGAAATGTGTAGAAGTTTTAACACATACTTCCTCTCAGTTTTTACACAGGAGGATACCAGCGATATTCCAGAAATGATAAATTATGTGGAACAGGATGATAATAAACTGTGCACGATTAGGGTCACAAGTGACATGGTCCTTAGGCAAATAGATAAATTAAAACCTAACAAATCCCCAGGCCCTGATGAACTGTATGCAAGGGTTCTAAAGGAATGTAAAGAGGAGCTTAGCAAACCTTTGGCTAATCTTTTCAACATATCACTACAAACTGGCATGGTGCCATATTAGTGGAAAATGGCAAATGTGATACCTATTTTCAAAGCAGGTGACAGGTCCTTAGCTTCAAACTATAGACCAATAAGCCTAACCTCCATAGTGGGAAAATTTATGGAATCAATAATTGCCGAGGCAGTTCGTAGCCACCTTGAAAAGCATAAATTAATCAATGAATCTCAGCATGGTTTTACAAAGGGGCATTCCTGCCTTACGAATTTGTTAACTTTTTTCACTAAGGTATTTGAGGAGGTAGATCATGGTAATGAATATGATATTGTGTACATGGACTTCAGTAAGGCTTTTGACAGGGTCCCACATCAGAGACTATTGAGGAAAATTAAGGCACATGGAATAGGAGGAGAAATTTTTTCCTGGATAGAGGCATGGTTGACAAATAGGCAGCAGAGAGTTTGCATAAATGGGGAGAAATCAGAGTGGGGAAGCGTCACGAGCGGTGTTCCACAGGGGTCAGTGTTGGGCCCCCTGCTGTTCACAATCTACATAAATGACATAGATGAGGGCATAAAGAGCGACATCAGCAAGTTTGCCGATGACACCAAAATAGGCCGTCGAATTCATTCTGACGAGGACATTAGAGCACTCCAGGAAGATTTGAGTAGACTGATGCAGTGGTCGGAGAAGTGGCAGATGCAGTTTAATATAGACAAATGCAAAGTTCTAAATGTTGGACAGGACAATAACCATGCCACATATAAACTAAATAATGTAGATCTTAATATTACGGATTGCGAAAAAGATTTAGGAGTACTGGTTAGCAGTAATCTGAAACCAAGACAACAGTGCATAAGTGTTTGCAATAAAGCTAATAGAATCCTTGGCTTTATATCAAGAAGCATAAATAATAGGAGTCCTCAGGTTGTTCTTCAACTCTATACATCCTTGGTTAGGCCTCATTTAGATTATGCTGCACAGTTTTGGTCACCGTATTACAGAATGGATATAAATGCTCTGGAAAATGTACAAAGGAGGATGACAAAGTTGATCCCATGTATCAGAAACCTTC